AAAATACTTTTTAATTTGATCTTTCAATTACAATAATATATAATGTTAAACTTATATATAAAATACTGACAATCTTAATATTTGAATTACAAAATATAAAATATTTTCAACCTTTCGGTTTGAAATACAAAATACAAAATACAAAATATTTTTAAGTTTTTATTTGAAATGGAAAATACTTTTTAATTTAATCCTTCAATTACAATAATATATAATGTTAAACTTCTCCCTCCAACAGTCCCCTCTTCATTTTTAAAGAGAGAAAGAAAAGTTGCTTTACTCTTTTACACTCTTTAACAGTCCCATTGTCGTGTATCAACCGCACGAGAAATCTATTTACTAATGTGAGATTAAGAAATTTGACTCTGATGACTTGATTTTGCTTGAAACTTGACGAAAATAATTAGTGTCGCTAATTGTCATATAAGAAAAATTTAAGTTACTATTGATTGTTGTCAAAAATTTTAATCTATCATTTCTTTAGTATTTCAAATACAAAATAGATTGAAATTGTATTTGAAATACAAAATACAATGAATAACTTTTTTCAAATACAAAATACAAAATATTCTTATGTGCTCCGCTGAAATACAAAATACAAATTGTATTTCAAATACAAGTATTTGAAATATGCCCAGGCCTGATTATAGGGTACTATTTGGCACACAATCCCAAAAAATCCAGGACTCAAAAAAACGGGCGAAAAAAATCACCTTTTTTGGGGGGGTCATTCTTTATGTTAAACTTGATTATATTACCTCTACATTTAAATATGTAGCAACCTTTATAATGTACACTAATCCAGAGTGTAGTGCCAATGATCGAATTCACTATTACTCCGCATAAATATGTGTAACTTAAAAGCGTGCACTCACTTGTGCATAAGGCGCCAAGTAGTACAGCGCGGTGATGTGCAGTTTGAACTTTCCGGATTTTGTGAATTTGCCGAAACAAGTGCCTAAACTTAACAGAAGATCGGACGCCACTGAATTCGCTAAGGACAAAATCTGCTCCGACACATAATACACCCTGTCCTTCCTCTCTCGAAAGCAGTATATACCATCTGGTCGATCAATCAACTGCTTGACGTTGTTGCCGATGCTGCAATAATCACAAATTTATGATTTACGAATATCTTGGAGTATCCAAGGCTCATTTATATAATGTGCATTTAACTTGAAAATTACGGAGTAAGTGTAATTTAAATTGGACTGCAGTTACTTACTATTTCGATAGTTTCTTGAATACGAGCTTTGTCCTTTCCTCTGACAATTGCTTCATCGTTAGAACATATAGGGGAGCACGTGCAGTCAATTATTTAAATATCGTCAAATTCCGTTTTCTTTAAAATTTTCTATCCTTCATTGATATCGTCACAACGCGAACACGTGTAGCGACAAACGTATAAGCACAACACTCACGTCCTCCCCTCCCACGTCTGATTCCCACTCCGCATTCCGCGAACGCGGTATCTAGGGAATTTCGAAAAAACTGTCGTTTCGGTTGCCTATCTTTTTAGGAAAAAGATAAGCCTATCCTAGTTGGGAAAGTTTTTTCTTTAAACTAAATTAATTCAGTTAAAGTTAATGACTTATAAAATTAATTTAGCTAAGTTGAAAGTTGCATGAAAAAACTAATAACTTAATTAAATGTTGCATTAAAATTAAATTAAGTTAAATTAAAAGTTAATTTTAAATAATATCATTTATATTTTATATAAATTTAGTA